TAATGGCCTTGTAGTAAAAAACAGTCACATAAGCACCCAGGGGTCCTCTAAAGCACAGACTGTATCACCCTCCCTCATCTACACTATTCAAAACCTACTGTGTGCTTAGGACAGTGCTGGTGACAGCAGTGGTACCAAAGGCTCACCGGAAGGGTTTAGAAATGCCCCCATGGGGACTGCATTTAGGTCCCCATCTCCCCTGGCAGATGCACTTACAGGGCTGGATGGTGAGCTGGGTTCCTCTCCCAAAAGTGAGCACGTTAGTACCTCCTCCTGTATTCACACCCTGGGACAACCCTTTGCATAAATCTCTCTGCCAGGGACTCAGGCCCTGAACCTTTCAGGACTATTATAGCCACTCTTAAGCATACCAGGGAGAGCTCATAGCCCTGGCTGGGGCTGCCAGTCATTTCTGTCCCTCTCTTGGTGTGCCATAAAAGCTCAAAACACATATAACCAAGGCAAGGGGCTTCCAACAGCACCAATGTTGACTTCTTTAGGAGAGTGACCATGGCCACAAAACTCTCCCCCTCACACAGGGAGGATGGGTAGGACAGAAGCCCTTAGTCACTACTACTTAAAAGGGCACGAAAAGGCACTATGTTTTGTAATATGGAATCCAAAACAGGACAAGCCAAACATCAGACAAGAACACACAATAGGAAAACACAGTGAGGTCTCTCTTGGACTTACTGGGCTTCACTGCTAAACGAGTCCCGGTCCCGAAAGTCAGCTTGTTTGCGCCACCCTGTTCCCACTGCTGTCAGCAGCTTTACAGAAACAGGGCAGACACCTGTCAGGAGTGTCACATCACCAGCCCGTCTGCCCTGGCTTTCCCCTGACACTGACCCAGAAATGCCCTAAACCAAGCAGTGTGGATCTTTTCTCACACATTTCTAAGTCATCAGCTTTCTAAGTCACAATATCTGAGCTCAAGAATACAGACCAAGGTTGCCATTTTATGAATCAAGACACCCTAACAGCAAGCAGTGTGGTCCACAGAGATGTTGGCATTGACAAAATTTTTAAGATTCTATTTTAAAGCTGTGGGGCACACCAGTTAATTGGTGTGATAAACTCTCTCAGTGACAATACATGGAAATCTGTAAGAGAATCACACTAATAAAGTGCTTGTGTTGGGCTGAAATTTACTTTTTCTTTCTTTAGAGTCACATATTTCTAAGCCAGAAAGAGTCTATTCAACATGGAGTGAAAGTTGGGTTATGATAAGGGTGGGCTGGAATGAGTTTTATACTCACAAGGTTGGACTCTCAATGTGGTTCCTGAGCCAAAGATCAGCTTGTTTCCGTAGTTCACACAGCATCAAACTCCTCTACAAAAACAGCGTGTGGCTGTGGAGGTGTGTGGCGTGGACTGGGGCGAGTGACTTGGTCCTGGAAACTGAAGACTGTTCATTTTGCATTAAGGACCTGCTGGTATTTGGCCAAGAAGCCAAGAACACTGTAATAATTACAGAAACTTCTAAATGTGGAAAAATTGGTTGCATGTGGAATTTGGCTTGTGTGTGCTCTTTGCTTCTTGGACTAGGATAAATGCTACAACTTTTCTCTCAAAGAAATACTCTGAAGGTTTAGGGTATCTTTTTTTTCCAGGACTTTTTAGCTAGAAAAGCTTACCAGAAATACTTACTGGGTGTAATGGTAAGTCTGGTTCCAGTCCCGAAGATTAATTTCTGGTTTCCTTTAGCCAGAATTTTCTTTCATCTCATTAACTTTAATCACCCCACCATTCCACCCCCATCCAAACACTTCTACTCTGCTGTGATGTCCTCCAATTTCAAAACCCATAGCAACTACCCATCACTAAAAGTTTCTGAAAGTGCTGCTTGGAAATGACTGAACTCATTTTAGCTGGTTACCACATATTTTCAAATATTTGGGGCTCTGAGTTGGTTTAGAGCCACTCTGGGGAAAGGATTCTTAGACTGAGCTGCTGTCAGCAGCAAGGGGAATATGGCATTTTCCTCGGGTGTATTCCGTTTTCACCTGGGCCAGTTTCCTACACGCTTCTGGCTATTATGGCATCTGTGACAGGCAGCAGACGGACCATGGCTGGGTCCTCAGATCCCACAGCTCAGGTTTGCTGCCGTCTTGCTTTGGAACTTTAGGAGCTCCCTGTCCCCAGACACAGAGTGGGAATAGCACCACTTTCTTATTCTACCCAAACAGAGCAGAAGAAAGAGACTTTGATATCTAAAGGCGCTTTAGCCAGCCCAGCTGGGAGGCTGTAACTTTCACTATAAGAGCCTGAGCCATCCAAAGCCTCATACTCTGCCTTACATTTCTAATGCAGAAAAAAGAAAAAATACGATTCCTCTAGGTAACTGAGTGGTTAGGCAGTTGGGAAATCCAGACTTGGACAGGTTCCATTCCTCCAGCTCTAGTTCTTTCAGTATGCTTTTATTTCCATTTTGGAAGGGTGTCTTTGGTTATAAAGTGAACATATTCAAATTTTCCATAGCTTTTAATTTTAGGAGCAAAAAATTTATTTGCCCCATGTTTTTCACATTACTGTACTCTGTGCATATATATCCATTCTATTTATCTGCCTGTCTGTCTGTCTATCCATCACCTACTTATCTGTCTCTCAGACAGAGTTGTTACCAGTTAATTCTGTGTCTCACCCACACGCAGATGTGCTGCCACACCGATAAATGCCACTGAAACCCCTCCCCCGCCCGCCCTGTTTTCCAAGTTTAAACCTTCCTTTCTGGATCAGTACGTAGACTCCCACTGAGTCAGCCCCACCCAGAACACCAGCTCTTAGCACCTTTTCAAATACCTTTGCCATCTGCAAAGAGAGACACACATGGGCTAGTTTTGTAAAATTATAACACCTGGCATTCTGTCTGCCTGCCTCTCTGGATCTTCTAGTTTGCTTGTCTCCTTGAAGCCAATGTTTCTAGCATTTCTTGCGAACACTTACAGTATTCGGAGTTAAAATGATCACACATGATAAAAATGAAGATGCAGTCATTCTGTCTGAATTCTCTTCACATGTCACATTATAATCTCATAATGGCAGCACCAAAAACAGAATTGCGAGTAATATTTTCTAGTTATGAATTATATATTCAAGACTGGAGTTTGCCCAGAAGCTCAGATATTTGGCTAATACCCATCCCATCTCTAACAGTTATGAGAAAGGACAGATGGAAGTTCTCCTTTCTAAGTCTGCATGGTTTGGTATGACCCCCGGAATTTTATGCAGGCAACCTGGAAATTAAGGAACTGATTTCCTGACCAAGTTTGAAATACTTACTGTGTGTAATGGTAAGTCTGGTTCCAGTCCCGAAGATTAATTTCTGGTTTCCATAGTTAGACACACAGTGCTCTAAGTCATTGCAAAAACCACTGCTCCAAATTCTCCAAACCCTACTACAAGCACCCCACCTCGTTTCTTGTGACCCCTCCTCGAAATGCTTCTACAATGTCAAAGCCACCAGTGACCCTTCATGTCGCTTCCTGTTGGAACAACTCAGAGAAACAGAGATAAAAGGCTATATAATTAGGAGAGGCTTGACAGATGAGAACTGTTTTGATTTTTCTGCCAACCTTTTCTTCAGAGAGAACAAAAATCCTCTTTCTCCCTCCAGGTGCTGTCAGAATTCCCTCGGGTCTAAACGCAGGTGCGAGTCTGGAATCCCCTGCCGTCTTTCTCATTCTTTCACACCATCCCACGTTCCCGTTCCCTCTGAAGTGCCTCCTGTCCCTTTTCTCGCCTTCTGGTCCATTTTCTCTCAGTTGTCCCTCCATTCTCTGCTCCTGTGGCCTGTGCCACAAAGGGCCAGACATCTCTGGTCAGTGCAGATGTGAGGGGCTAGCTAGGGGATGGCCATGACTACAGACAACATTTTGTCCCCCTCCTTCGAGGGATTTTCAGGCAGGAAAAGAAAAACCTGTCCCGGTGTCAATCATTCAATCACTCTAGGAGTGGGTGGGAGGGGCTCTTTGCTATATTTCAGATAAATTTATACAGAAAAGCAGAGAAATAGAATAAAAGACTTTTGATGATTCTTTCTGGAGTTTAAAGGGTTTGCACAACACAATGGTGGTAGAAAATTTTCTCTGACTTACTTGGAATGACTGTCAAACTTGTCCCCGTCCCAAAATAGAGCTTCTGGTTACCAGTGTTACACTGTGATAGGAAGCTCAACAAAAACCGGGCAGAAGAGAGAGCCACACTTACACAACCCCCTTCCCCCTACCCATACACACACACCGACCGACAGGCATGCAGACAGACTGCCTTTTTCCCCTGTGCCGATGCAAGAGCAAGGGCAGTAGGGGAGGGAACTCAAGGGCTGAGAGCAGCTGGGACCACGTGAGGCTGGAGGGACCGAGTCCTCCTGAGGGGGATTAGAGAGGGCGGACCTGCAGCTTGTGCAGCTCGCTGTCTAATTAAAAGTGTAGGCCCATTTGTTTTATTTCTGGGCATTTAAAAAATTCTTTTCTTTTAAGATCTAATTTCTCTCCTGGTGATCATATGATTTTGAAGTGCATTTTAATTAGGTGTCTTTATTACCTCTTTTCACTCTGGGAAGGATTTTATTTCTTTGTGAAATTTCTGGAATAACTCATTGTCTCCAGAGTAATCCAACATGAGGCTCTGATCAGCTTGCTCCTCTCCACCCTGCCTCATTTCCCTAACACCCCCATGATGCCGTGTTCATTGTCCATTTTGCCCCACACCTTGTCCCCCATGCACAGAGAATGTGGCAGGGAGAGGAGAGCATAGTTTGGTGACTTGTTTTTCAAATCGCCACTTTCCAGTCCCAAGCTGTCTATCCTACCTTTTAAGGATCAAACCTCCCTTTGCCATTCTTTGACCTTCTTTTCTGGTCGGAGGTAATACATCTTGATCCCTCAGCTTTGTGTGCTCAACCACATGCCACCTCCACATCCACTGCAGCCCCATGCATGTGACTATTAGCTTGTCCCCACTCCACATTTTGCAGGCGAAGTCACGGGGAGACTTACTTGGAATAATTGATAAGCTTGTTCCCTGCCCAAACGTCAGCTTGTTGTCGTTGTCACACAGCCACCCAACCCTTTGCAATAACTGGCAGGTGACTCAGAGATCTTAGACCCCAATCTTTCTTGATGTCACTTCAAAGCACCTGAGATAGCTATGAGACAGGATCTGTGAGTGGGGAGACAGCTTCCCAAGGATGACATGAACCTTGCTGGGAGCGAGTGCTCCTCCACCGTGGTGTCATTACAATTTCTGACATGCAGCGGGCTTTAAAATCATCGGTGAGCTCCCTGGTCTCCTCCTCCCTTCTCTACTATCCCCCCATCCACACAACCTCCCAATCTGCATTCCATTTCCATCTCCAAGCACTTGCTTGGTGACACCAGGTCCTCAGGCACCATTGATCCGCCTTCTTGGAGACGGCGTATGTTCACTGGCACTGGGTGATTAAGGAACTGGAAATGCCAGGCTCTCAGAGGGTGAGATCTGGGCTCCCTGCTCCTTATTTCTGGTCAATATGTTGTTCTCATTTGTCTGGCTAATGAAGAGCTGACCTTTCTAAGTGGATGAGTTTTGTTGCAATGACAACTGCCAGAGAGCTAACAGCACCAGCAGAGCTCTCAGGCAGATTTGGCCTTTCCAGCCCTTTTGGCAGATTTCAGTCAAAGAGATCCCAGGCTCAAAAGTCGACCTCTCAGCTTTGGCTCCCACATTACTGGCCTTGCTGAAATCTGCGCAACATTGGTCCAACCTGTCCCTGCTCATTAGAAGCAGGCTTTCCTCAGAGGCATCTTGCACATCCAAAATGATTGTAACAAGCCAACATTCAGCAGCACCGCACATTCTAGCTCCCCACCCACCTGGTGGGCACTGATGCTGCCACTCAGTGGAGCAGATGGGCAGTGAGGTCAGACCACCCCCTCCACACACACAGCATCGGGGCTGTGCTGCCTGCCTGCCTGCCTGACTCTGCCGGTATGGGGACTGGACTCTCCCCCCTTTGGCATGGGGGTAAAACCCTGCCCTCGCTGGAGAGCCTAGGAAAACAGAGTGCCCTGCGATCGTTGTCGGAGCGATGACACTTCTCTGGATACCCGCCTCTTCATCTCAGTCTAATGAAGCTGCGGTGAAAGATATATTCTTGCTTTTTAACTCCCTACCTCCTTCCTGCCTCTCATTTCTTTCATTTATCGTTTCTGAACACCCACAGGGCTCCAGACTCTCCTTGATCTATTTCCATCTGACTCCATTAGAATCCCTGCAAGAAAGAGCCAAAAGCCTAAAATGCAAAAAGACATGGGGAGACACTATGAGTTTGGGTCTTTCTGGCTCCCTTGGCTTCACGGTTAACCGCGTCCCCTTTCCAAATATCAGCTTTTCTGAGCTGTCAGCCTTCTTCCTGCAGGAGGGCATTTTACAGCGACTGACAGGAGGAACTTTATGAATCTTTAAAAAACAGTCAGTTTCTCCCTCTTCCCGGCGGGGTGCAGCCACAAATACATTAAAGCCAAATCTTTCTATCTGCTCTAATTATCAGCAAGGATACAAGTCACCACGAGGAGAAAGGTATTAAGCCTTCTATCTGAAACTCTTTGGAATGAATTGCAATCTCTTGCCTGGTGGTTTAAGAGCTGGAAATGAACACAGTGGATGCGTATTTCTTTCCATCTTTCCTCCTCTGTCTCTTTCTTTGTATCTACAGGTACAGCACGAGACGGGCAGGGAACATAGAGGGGTTTGAAATAAGACCTTCGATTCCCATTCAGTTTTCATTTTCTCCCTCTCTGCTTTCGTTTAGAACCCATTCTGAACCGAATGCCACCTACCTATTCAAACTCTGCTCTCAATTATCCCTTTCCACTGTGGATACCGGTGGAAATGGCCTCAGCTGGGCCAGGATTGATATAAGAAAGAACTTTCTGATAGAAAATGATACTAAATATTAGAATGGGTTACTTGGGGAAGTAGGTTGTAAAGGTGACCTCCCACCTCTAAAGTTGGTCATCATCTCCAGAGAAGACACTGAAGGCAACAAAGATTTTTTTCTATCTTTTCAGGGTCAAGGTCAGCTTTACTTAAAAGCAGGAGGATAGGCCTAATGGTTCAGGGTCCAAAAGGGAATTACTAATATTGAGATTAAACAAGGGACAGCACCTTGGAGACTACTAGTTAATCTCAAGCAAGAGCTGGTCCCGACAACATACATTTCTTTCGAACCTGACACCAGGGGCGAAATTCCAGAGTTTCCAGTATGCTACTACACTTACTTGGATGGACAGTCAAGATGGTCCCCTGTCCAAATGTCAGCTTTCCATAGCCGCTGCCACCAGAATTAACACTGTAACAGAGGCCTTTACAAGAACCCCAGGGGACTGCTGAGGCTCAGAGGCATCTTCCTCCTTCCTTCTGGGGAGAAGAAACTCACCTGAAGGGATCTGGATTTGTGAGGCTGAGTTTCTTCCCACTGGAGGTGGGAGGACCACCTCCATGCCCGGTCCTGGGACACTGGCCTGCTGTACCCTCTGCCTGCCGCCTCTCCCCCTTCCTCTGTTTTCCACCTGAGGCTTCCAAATTTCTCACGTTCAGCATTTCTCTTTCTAAAGGTCTCATTTCCATTTTACAGCATCACTTTCAGGACAATTTCTCTGATCAGTTTTCAAGTCATGTCCTCCCTCCCTTTTGAGGAGTCACACATTTCTGATGACAATGAATTGATTACAAGAAGACAGGAGGAGGGAGTTCAGCTTTTAGGGAGGCTGACTAAAATTGGATGCGGTTTAGGCTCCAACCTCATGAAACACTGTCTCCAGAGCTTCGCTTCATGCCCCAGCATAAGAAGTGAAAAGGTTAGGCACATTCGACGCAGCCTTTTTTCACAGTGGGGCTTTTCTATCACTTTTGAACTTGGTGAAATGTTAGTGGTAATTCACAGAAAGTTTACACCCGGACTGTGTTATGGTGATGAACTCCCCTGGGCTGTTCTGGGTTTAGCAAAGAAAGACCTGTATCTTGGGAAGCCTCTCAATCCCTGGCAAACTGGGACAGCTGGTTATCCTATAGTCTCAGGAGAGGTATCCTGACCTCACAGAGCAGCTACAGTGGTAGGGTTAAGGGAGGCCTCTGCTAGACGCAGGTTTCTGCTTATTTACTTGGGGTTGCTGTAAATTTCACCCTTGGACCAAACACAGTTTCCATTGCTGATAGTCACAACCACAGGAAGCCTGAGGGTCTCCAGATCCAGGGCTGGGTCTGGTGGATGCCACAAAAGGTGTGAGAAGCAAAATTGAGGCAGTCTCATTATTGGCACAATGGTGATCAAACCATATCCCCAAAGACGCGAAAACCAAATATTTAGCTCTTTAGTCACATTCAACTTTTAAACTCTTCACCTGTGTTGACTGAATTTGTGCTAGTGTCTCTAGTGATCTCTTTAAGTAACCACTTATTAGCAAATGGTCAAAGCTTTAGCCTGCTTATCAACATGAAAAGGGTGAGAGAAAAAGGCTATTATTTAGCAACAAAGTCATGCCTATCTGCTTTAAGCACAGCAGGCAGGGATTCAAGCAACTCTTCCCATCTCTCCCCTATTTTACAACATCACAGTTTAAAGAGTTCCTCACACCCTAATCAGGACCCAAGCAAACTCTGATGCCTGCCCTTAGCAGAAACCCTCAGACAGCACCACTGAATTGCTGTGGCAATAATCTCTGTGTTCTGCTGGTTGAGGGAAAACAGATTTTAATCATGGGTCCCTTGGACTCCAGCCTTGCCTTGTAACCCCTGCATATAAAGAGCCCATTGCATGGAAAATCTGGCATATAATTACTGTTCAGAGCTTTGGAAAGATGCTTGCCCTGCACAGGTATTTCCTTTGCATGATTAGGCTGTCATACTCCCTGCCCTCTTGTCCACACTTTAAAGTGTAGAGGCCAACCAAGTACTGAGAGGGGCTCCCAGCTTCTCTGTGCAATCTGGCACGTTTATAGCAAGACACCAAAGATAAAACCCCCTGTATAGTCTCTAGTCTACACTGCCCACCCTCTGAAAGGCAATGTCCTGTCCTTGAATCTCTAGGACGTTCATATGCATTCCCTTGAAGCTTTAATTAGATAGAACCTCAGAGACTGCTGAATGCATGGGATTTAACAATGTTATGTATTATTCATTGTTTCTGTTGTTGCAGACGTGTACTGGTTTTGTCCCCTGCTGAGCAAGGCACTCGTGCGCATGACAGCTTCATGGCTAACCACACTGTGTGTTCTTCAGGCAGGGCCTATCCCAGAACATTCCAAAGTCCTGCTACCAGGCTGCATTAACTCCTTCAGTGCCACCTGCACTGCATCACCCCCCTGCACTCTTCAAGAACTTAGGGCTGTGCTTTGCAACATGCCTTTCCTGGTGCTTCATCCTCTCCTAATCACAGAAAGCAGATCTGAATAAATGAAATGCTGCAACTGGGGCACTTAGCTCCTGCCTAAAGGAGACTGGAGTCCTTCCACAGGTTTTCCTCATTTCCGCTTTACCCAAATTACATAACAAGTCAGTCTTCCCAGCATTATTTATAAGCACCACTCTCGGAAACCTATCACAAACAGATTTTCTACAAGTGTCAATAGCAATTTGATAGCATATTAAACTTTTCCAAGTACTGACACACATTATTACCATTACGGAAAGGTGGGTGTGTATTTGAAGGAGAGAGTGTACCTCTGTTCTCACATCTCAGAAGACAAATGACTTTTTTCTTTTCTCAACAGTAGAACTAAGTGAAGTAGAGGCTCAATCAATGATTTTGGTAACCGAGGTAAAAGTTAGGTTAAATGCTTTGCCTAAATTAACCAGACAGTTCTACCCACGGAGATCCCAGTTACTGGACTGGGGATCGAGAACAGTTCCTTTAAGAGAGATTACATGAAGGGAAAAGAAGACAAAATCTGTCTGTAGAACTTCCAGCATTTGTTAATAAAATTGCAGGGTCCCATTATTTTAGAGATAAATTTAGGAGAAGTTTTAGTATCTGCATCAGGAAGATTTATTTTTGGTCTTCTGAATTTGCATAGTCACAATATGCCAATT